CACACACACACACACACACACACACACACACCAGTGCTTTATTTCTTAATCACTAGTAGCCTTTTGTAGCCCAAGTGAAGAACTTGTGTGTAAGAGCATTGGAGATGTTTATTAAAGTACAGAGAGAGTTTATAAAGGTGTAAAGTATGTAATAGATATACCCAAGAAGACATGTGGATATGCTTCATAAACAACGTCCCCACATGAGAATCGAACTGATGTCCTCTGCATACAACGAGGAAGAACCTAACCACTGCACTAAGGGCTCAGTTTCCCCTGACACAAAGAGACACAGATCTGAGAACTCGGGAACAGGAGGAGGAAAGTGTTCCGGAACTGAGAGCTCATGGCCAGGAAGATGTAGAGGTTCACGGAGGCGTTGAGGATCTCGCCAAAGTGGATGAAGCCCAGGACCACCATGTACAGCCGGTGGTAGCGACGGTCGAAGTAGAACTCCGGCTCCGCGAACATGGCCACGTACATAGCCAGGCGGGGCACCAGGTTCACGATGTACACAAACAGAACGGCCAGCAGCATCCGAACCACCTGTCGGTCTCGTGTGGACAAGGCAGCAGCGCCTTTCCCCTTGCCCTTCGCAGGCGGTTTTGAAGAGTCCTTGGTGGTATTCTTCAGCGCGTACTCTGTTGTCGGTGGTGGCTGATTAGGCTTTTTAGCTCCTGCTTGGCTCTGGATTCTGAATTTCGAATATTCTCGAAGTTGGACCATGATGATGATCGTGCACGTCACAATGACGGTGTATGTGATGACTGGGACAGCGACGCTGGCCGCTCGGTAGTACTCCAGGATGCGCTCAGCGTGCCGTGAGAAGAAGTCCGTGACCCCGTAGACAGCCACAGTCGTGTTGAACCGTGGGCTGAACACCCACACCACTTTGTACTGAGTCAGGCTTATGGCAAAACTTCCGAACATTGTAACAGAGACGAAGGTAACAGCGGTGATGGTGACCTTCGGTGTGAGCAGAGATTTCACCGTGAACGGTTTCACAACGCATACGCATCTCTCAAATGACACGTAGGCAGCCAGACCGAATGAGACATACCCAGAGATGGTGTTCAAGTAGCCCAAATTGGGCACTGTCATCATCTGCCACGAGAAGCCATTTGCAGCAGACACCATGCCTATCGGCCCGTACAGCCGGCAGATGGCGCCCGTCAAGCATTTGACCAAGTCCCAGACAGCTATGGCGGTCATGGAAATATTCACACTCTCCCCAAATCCTTGTTTGGCGAACACCAAAATGATGAGAACGTTGTTCCCACAGCCCAAGGACGCCAACAAGAGAGACGTGATGCTGCTGAAGTACAGCCCCAGGCTTTTGTAGACTTGTGTGTCGATCATGAACGAATGAGAAGTCTGGTGTGCGAAGTTCCCAGCGGGCTCTACTTCTGCCACAGATCTAGTTGTGTTGTCGAGGATTGGCGTAGGGGGAGACACCATGCTGTTCTCCATCCTCACTTATTTCTTGTGTTGTTTCTAAAAATCTGATTATTTTCTGCAGAAGCAAGTTGCTCCCCAGAAAGGCCAGATTTTCCTCAGAAATAGAAATGGTGAATTAAAGAGAAAGACTCGCTGAAGTTGTAGATAAAGGAGTTAGAGAATTAAAAAAAAAAACAACTATAAAAGCCCCCAAAGTAAACAGCAACTGAATTTACGTAACAGCAGGGTGGATATCCATATGTCATTACAGCATCCGAAAGAATTCTTTGTCGGGAACAAAGAAAACGAAATTTTTTTTAATGATTACTTTATCAATTTTGTAACCAAAACTCTCCGTTTTGATAAAAATTACTGCGTCAATGCAATCTTATTCTCGCGGAACGTACATTATGAACCAATTACAGCGCACAGGAAAAAAATCCCCACATCGATCTATCGTGTCAACAATTTATTCGTGAAGTAAAGAACTAGCGCTCTCAGTGAGCACAATCATTTATGGACAATTACAAGAGAATGAAGTCGGTTGGATTTGTCAGCTGCCCTGAAGCGAAAAGTGGATTGTCAGTCGGGAAACCCCCACCTTAATTATTTGAGTTTGAGTAAATACGTAAAAGATCATTAACACAATGGCGGTAATTAAGTGCAGGGCAGAAGAAATAAAAGACAGATAGACAGAATTAAAAGAGGGGGGGGGGATGAGGATCAACCAGTGGTACCTGCTAGCTAGCATACCTTTAATTACGCCATAATCATTTAGTAGACATGATACTTACTTTCTTTTACTTTCACTTAAGGTCCAGGTCTGGCACTGATAACATAATGTTGGTACGAATATTGAGGTGATAAGCTGTCTCTTTGTGTCCATGGAGATGTTTGGGTGAGATAGGAGGGGTGAGAGCTGGTAGGTGACAGCGTTGGCTTTTTGAGTTCGCATTTCTATTTCTCTGTCTATGGACCCGTTTTCAGAAAAAGTGCTGCCAAGTTGTTTACTATTGACATGGATGTTTCTACAAAAGCTGCATTTTTTTAGTAGTTAAGAGAAGAGGAATAAGTGTGTCGACATAACGATTTCTGCTCATTACTGCTCAGAGAGGCAAAGACAGACAGAAGGAAACAACAAGGGAGCACGAAAGTAGAAGACCTTGGCATGTGACGCCCTCCACCCACTCGCAGTTAACAGATTACTCAGTAGAGTAGACTGTCGAAGTTGAATACACTTGACTATTGAACACAAAGAGGCAACGATGGAGATCGAAGAGATAATGGATTTTCGTAACCTTGCCTTTTTAATGAGCTCAACAATACACCATAATTTGGAGAGCAAATTTCTAATCTTCCAATAGTTGTATAAACGAGGAGGTGCTGAAAGAAGCCTACAATAAAGAAGCGAAAAATTCAAGTTTCTTGGACGCTTGAATCGACATAAAGCGTTTGAACATAATACGAAACATAATGTTCCCACTATTTGGAGGATGATTGATGAAGGTGTTTTTTTCCATTTAACAAATGGTGATTTTAAAAAAAGTTTTGTGCCACAGTGTCAAAATAGTGAACAAAGGTCAGTGGGATTTCATATACTACGTGCATCATGATTGTTGAATTAAGGGTTTAAAAGGGGGCTCTCGTGGCCTAGAGGTCAAGGTGTCGGCCTCTCATTGAAAGGTCCCGGGTTCGAATCCGGGTAGCGACCGAAACATTTTCTTCTCTAAAATTGTCTCCTTTTATCTCCTTTCCTGCTCTCTAGCAATGTTCTGTTGTCTGCTTTCATTTCCACTTTCTGCCCCCACCCCCTCATCTCCTTTGCCCCCTCCT